AAGACTGCTGGATTATATCCAGATTTACTACATTAGTTGTTACCGGATCCTTGTCTTTTTGTTGCAAGACACCCACCATCGTTCCCGCTGGGTTAGTCGCTCGTGACAAAGCGACATACAACTGACCATGCGAAAAAACAGGAGCTGGCAGATAAACTCCAACTTTATCTAGGGTCTGACCTTGCGCTTTGTTTATGGTCATGGCAAATGCCGGTAACACTGGAAATTGGCATCGCGAAAACTTAGTTCCAAATCCCTCGTCTGGCTCATGGATCAAGATTAACTTTGGAATCAGGATATGTTCTCCTTTTGTAGGACCAGTGATTATCCGACATTTGAGGACACAAGGCTGAATTCCGATGACCAGCAGTCTTGTGCCATTTCTTAACCCCGAACCCAGGTCAAAGTTCCGGAGACATACGACCGGCATCCCTTCTTTTAACTCCAAGATTGGTGCCGAGAACCCGGGTAATGTTACTTTCTTTAAAATTTCTGGGCCCACCGCGTCATCACCATCACTGATTACTTGGTCAATCGCGTGTGAAATGACTGCTCTTCCAGGTAACAAATTGAAGCAAGTTTTGTTTAAAACCTCCACGTTCCGGTTCAGAGGGGTAAGCAAGCACCGGCGTTCGAAGTAACCTACTAAATCTTCCTCAAACTTTTGATCAAGAATTTGCCTCAAGTTTCCATATACATGCCGGACCAGATGCATAATTAAAGGTTTATACTGAGGGTTTGCTTCGACGATCACTCTTGATAATGATACAGACTCCGAACATCTTGTCATACCGGATCCCGAGCCGATGTCCAGAAGCCACTTTGCGTATGCTGATTTTGATTCTTGATCAGGATGATTACAGTCAACTCCCTGTCCCAGCGTAAGTTTCAGTTATCACAGGACCTTCACAGAAGCCCATATAGGAGACCCAATCAATGATGCAGCACCTTGACTGAAAATGTCCCCATGTTGAATGACTGGCAATGTTTGCCGAAAATCACCCCCAAAAATTACTAACACTCCTCCGAACCACTTGTCAACTGCCTTCAGCTCTTGAAAAGATCGATTCACCATTTCGATTGCGTGTCGATGTGTCATGGTTATTTCATCCCAGATCAATACCTTTAAGGTCTTTAATTGGGCTCCTAAGATTGTTGTCGGATCCCATTTGGCCATAGTCTGTGAGTTTACATTCAAAGGAATCTTCAACTTTGAATGTGCTGTGCCTCCACCATCCAACATCAACGCTGCAACACCGGAAGACGCAGTGACGAGTATCTCAACGCCTTTGCCGATAAAGTAACTGATTAATGTGTTCAGTAAATATGTCTTACCACAGCCGGCAGGACCATCGATAAATATCGGATCCGTGGCTCCTGTTGCTTGCCATCGGGTTATTTGATCAAAGAGCTTAGCTTGATCTCTGGTCAACAGGGTCGGATTCCGGTATCTAGGAATTAATAGACTACTACCTGTTTTGCTGTTTCTTGATTCGAAACACGGCCAAAGAGACTGATCCAATATTGGGAGACCAAGATCTACCCACGATTTTGTAGTTTCCATTCTGATCTGTGAACCGAGCAGAAAACATCCCAGGCTTTGCACATTTTCCGGAGTTTGTGGAACATCAGGATACAATGTTTCCAGTTTAAATCGACAGTCATCGCTCAGTTCATCGGTGAACCGCGCTAATAAACGTCCTGGGTTTGCCGGGGGGCTGTGTAGTAACAGTAAAACAAACATAGATCGGAGCCTGTTTCCGGTCATCCATGCTGATGCTTCGGCCATGCACATCTCGTAATGCGCATCCGTTAGTAAGAGGCCATGCTCTTCCGCAGCCTCCCGGAAAGATCCTTTAACAAGGCCATCAACTGTTTTGAGATCACTGAATCCTTCACATCCTTTCAAGTTCTGGAGAAGTATTCGCAGGTAATATCGCTCGCCTTCCGTTGGAGTCGCAAAATACAACCGGCCAATAGTATCAGTCGGTTTTTCCCGGGGCCTCCATTCCCGATTCTTGTACCAATAGAAGTGCATAGGAATCTCTTGATATAATAGATCTCTAGCCCGCTTCTTGTATCCCATGGCGTCGATTCTATTTAACTCAAAATACTGGGTCAATGTTGTTATATCAGCAAGACCAGATTCCATCTTCGCTATGGCTCCTTCTGTGTCTCAAAATAAATGGTTTGTTGGTCCGGTAAATGGAGCGCCAGTCGCTGAATCGCAGGATATCGCGAGTGCATCGGGAATTGAAACAACCTGTGCACCGCTACAACAGATTGCACAGTTAGCTATATTCTGTAAAATAAAAATTATTACACACCTTCGCAAGGTCCAATGTATCTCCCATGGACAAATTTAGCGATTTCGTCCCCTTTTTTAAGTTCAAGGGCTGATCTATCAATCCCTTTACATATATACTTGAACAGGTACTTTGTCGCATTTATTCCGTAAGGAATTTCGACATTAATGTAGCACTGATACTTTAGTAGCAGTACCTTATTATAAGGAACCACGTATTGGCTGTCAAACATTTGACCTGATTTCGGAATTGCATGACCAAGGGCTCGCCGCCGGTACAACGGATATGCGTCATCGGGTAACTGAGTCTCTTCTTGATAGGCTTTCGGGAATCCTTTTGAGCAAATGCCATCGACCAGGCAACGACTGGTGGTACAAGGCCCATGAATCATTGTCTGACCTACCAATTGGAACAGATTTGGTTCCGCTTCTGGATCCGGGACTTCCGCTGTGACCAAGGAATCAATTGCGGTGACAGTTGTGGGGACATCAGCGGGGTTCAGAAATAACATGATATGGCAATGGGGAAGGCCCCTCTTCTGAAACTCGATTACTGATACATAACCAAGAACTCGACCCAAGACATGCTTCTGAGTCAGATCCTGAATAAGTTCTTCTTTCTGTAACTGAAACACTCTAGTCACAATATCTGGTCGGTCTGACGGTGAATATCCTGGAGGCAAAGCCTTGAGGACATCGGCCGATTGTGGATTAGCAGTCATCGTTATAAAGAGTGAAGGCTTTCCGTACTGCTCCACAATTGCCATCGAGTCTTGATACAGTTGGATCATGTGCCGGGGAGACCCCACAAATGAGGAAGGTAAAATTACTTTCAGGCCACTTGGGATCCGTAGAATTACGCAATGCTTCCCGGACGCCTTGGTACAACTGAGCTTTGATTTTGCCCTGATTCTTCTTGAAGTACTCAAGCCGGTTCCTTTCGACACAAAAGTACAAGTCGTCCACGAGCTCTTGGAGCAAGGTCCTTGAACACAAGATATAATTAAAGTGGTCTGAGTTCTCAAACAGGAGTGACGCATACCACTCGACCTGCGTGATTTTTTGGCCTGATAGAATAATCAGTACTAATGCCAATATGACATGTTGCATCAGCTACTCACTGCGTCGTCCTGATGTTGGAGGTAATCCAGAAACCCATCCTCCTTGTCCAGATGGAAAAAGGATTGGGTATCGTAATGGTAAGTACGCCGTATGTTCATCGGTCATGTGCTCAATTTGCCCGTCTTTGCGATGTAACACCAGATCCCGAGTACCAATGGTTCCATCTTGACCGTCTTGTATAACCATCCCCACTTCATTAACCGTTGGCTTGTTGTACGTCTTTGGGTTGAAAGATTTGGACTCTACGGAACAAAGGACATATTTGGGAACAGCAGTGGTCATTTCTGTATGCCGAACCCGGCGGTAAAATTGAGCATAAGGATTCGACTTGTCCAGCTCGGTTTGAAGTTGATACATCAGGTTAGAATTGAGTGTGGCACCAGAAACTTTAGTTCGATGCTTTGCTTCTTCTGCGTCTGAGTTCCCAATTACCCAGATTTGGGAAAAACCGGCGGTATCAAGTTTGGAACTGGTCAGGGAGCGGATATTATGATAAAGGTGGCCTTGGACTCGAAACGTATATATGCCCCTTTGACCTTGAGTAGAACGGTCAATCTTTACCCCAAGCGAGGTAAAGGCTAAGCCGTTGTTGTAACTTCGTATATGAGCTTGAAATTCTTTTGAGACTGTAGAAATAGTTAGATTAACATTGTCTCAGAGTGGAAGAACGGAATAAAAACGAACCCGTGTCATCCCCTTTCAAGAGCTTCTGTAATATGGTAGGATAGTTCCGGTTATAGTGGACCGGAATCAGAGCGGCACCCTTTTGACAGCACATGGAAAAGGATGCCGTAACCTTCGATAAGTCGGCTTTGCTCCGCTCTTTTCTCCAGTGCAATGATCCACAGGATGAACAACGGTCATTACAGGGTCCGATGGAGAAGGGAATCTGATCCCTGAGATTGGTAAGTATGTAAGCCTCGGAGTTTTGATCAGGTCGTTTGATTAGCGCCATAACCAGAATGGCTCAAGATCAATCGACCAGTTTTATGAGTGTGTACAGGGATCTAGATTGGAAGAGTTTACTGGTTCAAGTTTTGGGATAATGGTGAAGGACCTGTAGAATTGTTTGCAGGTTTGCACCTAAGTCATGGTAATTCGATGGTTCAGGGACTGGTGTCCGGACTTAGTCTGTACTGTGAGACCAGTGTAAGAACAATAATTTGCCTTTCAAAGTTCCAACTGCCTAAAATTGGAAACTGTTAAATTGGCTAATAACGGGAAATTAAGTTCCGATTATGGCAAGTGAAGAGATAGCACTTTGTGAGACGAACATCGAGGACATGGACATAACGTTAGCTTTACTGTCATGTGGTAGGATAAGTGAAACAAACAGATTAAAAATTTATTATATGACTTGTGAGCCATCAATTAAAAACTCCCGGAATTTGAACTAACAGCAAACCCACAATAATTAATACCCCAGATTCGGAGGAGTATGGTACAATCAGCCTCAGTCACTGGTTACCTGTTTTTCAGCTTGATCTCTGCTTGATCCTTGGTTTTTGGTTGCTGCCCATAATTATTGTCACAGTTCTTATCTCCAATTACTTGTCCCTGGCGAATCAATCCTGAAAACGTATCGCTAAACTTTTGGTCGAAGACCTTACAGGATTTGTGAGCTTAAGGCCTTGGTTTAAATATATAAGCAACCATTTATTGACATTGTTTTTCAATTACTGTCATAGTTGAGAATCAAACCCGCGACCAGTCTCCAGAGTACATATATTTGGGTTCCCATACAGAATACAAACTGTTATCTAGCTTGAAGGTTTGTGAGAAGTATCCCACAGATCTTGGCTAAAAAAACCGAGTAGCCTTGTCAAGACTCTCCTTCGAGGATGGGAATTTGGAGGTTACCACATGCCAACTGGAATCAGGTCTCGTCCTGAAATGACTTGGTAACTTGCCTCCATCTCTGTTTACGACGCTCGGTGCACACTAATAATTTTTTGATAAGATTGTGTTCAGATGGAGGCCGGATCCAAGAGATGAGAAAAATCCTTAGCTAGAAAAAAAAGTTCATGTGATGATACAATAGGGACAACAACTGATCCTGGGACAAGTCCTTCTAGTGATGGACAGGTATCGACTGTTGCTTCTTGGCAGTCTTACTGTTCAGAGGCTTGCCTAGAGCATGGACCAGGAAAAAACAGTGTAGAAGACCGGGGGCAGTGAAAGACCTTTGCCAGAGCCGAGCATGTTGAGTGGAACGGTTCAGCTCGAATATGGTCTCAGCCGGTCAAAGGACAGACCCACGGTGAAGTGTAAAGTTTTAGATCATGAGTTACAGGATCAGGGTCACACGCGATTGGGCTCACATCATTTGGGAAGAAGACCACAGACGTTTAACAGGAGAGAGTAGAACTTAGTTTGTTACCAAATGCAGGCATCTAAGGCTGGCAAATATCATATGCCATTTTAGAGTTGTTTACTAACGACTGAAAAGGAATGTCGATTTAGCTAATACAAAAAGTTAACACTTAATAAATAGTTAAAAGATGATAAATAATAGAAGCTTGTTTGAAATAACTGATATCAGACTTCAGAGTTGACGACTCATGAGGCCTAATTACTACAACCCGGGATGGGTGCCTTGGTTACCTCTGTCTTTGCTTTCTTGTTGTATCGGCGTTTTGTTCCGGTCGGAGGTTCAGTAGATAGAACAGTACAGTCTGCAGTCTCGGTGGGTATGGATGAAAGGATGCCAGACACAGGGTTCTTGATTAGAGGGTCTTCTGAATCGAGTTCGTCTCCGCTATCAAAGTTGATTCTGGGATGGTGGCAGAGCTTGGGTTAGAGAGAACTGTGAACCATGGTCAAAACCAAGGACAACATACTGGTATTGCTTTCGAGGGTTCGATGGCAGAGTATCGATACTGGACATCGATCCAGTAGATGAGTCAGGCCCCAAAGATAGGGAGACTGAAAGGGCCTGGTTACAGATATACGTATGAGTGTACAGAGTTAAGGGTTTGAAATTGAGAGTGAAGCAAACCTTTACTTGGAGCATTTTTTGGCTCTTATCGTAACCAGTGAGGGTGCCCGATAGTAACATCTCCCGGCCAGGCTGAAACAGGCCAAATGTTTTGGCAAGATTTCGGTTGCCGGGGATCTTGTAAGAAACATTAAATGAGACCTGCGATTTGGACTGAAAAGCAGAAGGATTATCAGCCTATTCTGATGTATGAATGGTGATATAACTAAATAATCACACCTGGTTATCGTAATCCGTATGTCTCATGACAACATGGAGGCTGTTGAAGTTGGTTTGACCCAGTGCAGAATCTTCACGTTCATGTTTGCTGATGACAATGCCGAAACCCCAGACAGCTGTCTTATTGGATAAAGAAATCAGAAGTGACTCGGTCAGGCCCATAGGGAATGTTAAATCTTGATCGTAGTATAAAAGAGGCGGTGTCTTGAGGTTTAGGCAAATGAGGCGACCAGAGAGCAAGTAGGTATGGTCTCGGATCAAGGCCATGGAGGCAGAGCCATAACCAAGAAGGTGAACCTTCATATTGATCTCTTGGACCTGTTTCTGGGTCATTGAAAGG